TCGTTTCTAGAACTCAGGGCTCCTTAGACTTAACAATCACATACAAGTTAAAGAGCTCCATTGAGAAACTCCCCTTCATTATTTCCTTGTGAACTACGTAAAAAACCTTAGAGATGAAGTTCAATTTGATGCGCTCTATAAATCTCTATAGGTTTGAACAATGTTTGAGAACAAAGTTGAATGTACAATTGAGAACAACTCATACAATGGACCTCTTGTGGTTGAGACATATATGATCTTAGAGCTGCGAGAAAATGTTGATATCATTTGTCTTAATGAAGGCATTTTCTATTTATTTTTGTAGGCCAGTAATATTTTGATCTATTTTAAATTAAATATTATTGTTTTTTTTTTTTTTTTGAAACCCTTCATCTTTGAAAAAATGTCCCCTAAATTATTCCTATATATGATGAGTTTGACACAATTCATTTATGGCATAACCTTGTGAATCATTTGTATGATGTAGGAACCTTCCTACAATTTTTAAAATAGTGAGCAATAATGATCATGTCTTTGTTATGGAGAGTCTCATAGCAAGAATATCCCATCCCAAGTTCGATTGGATGTGCAAATTAGCAATTTAGATCCTATGTCTAGAGAAAAAATTTTCAATTTCTTTATATGAGGAACTTATTATCAAGTTAGAATTTAGGGATTTTCTCAAAAGGTAAGTTATGATGAGAAACTTTACTTCTTCTGCAATTGTTATTCTTTTGCTTCTAAACAAGTGAACATGTCAAATGCCAAATTGGTCTCTCAAAACCCTCTTTCCAGCCAACTCTTTGGTCAAAGTACTAATCTTTATCATAGTTGTTAGTATCATCAAAATCCTAAATCTCCAAACCAACTCTCACTCAATCACATCCCTAATACCCTTCTTAAGCTCAATTCACTTTTTAGTTCTAACTTTAAATCTAACTAAATGCGAACCCCCCCCCCCACACACACACCTAATTATATCATTATTATTAGTTATTGCTTATAAGATGTACAGTTATACTGATTTTATTTCTAATCTTATTCTTCATATGATATGATGAAATATGACATTATTTACATTGACAGCTACCTACTTTTATAGTTATGTATTTATACTGATCGATGTTGATTTAATGATTACATGCATATTATTTTCACTATATTGAATTGATTGCAGTTGTAGGTTCTAATAATCTACTGAGCTATTAGTTCAATTTGTGATTTTTTATATGTTTTCATAAAGGAGAAATGATCGAGTGGAGTGACAGATCACGGTTTCTCATGTTTTCTTTTATTTTCTTTATTTTGATTTATTCTTTTGTAGTCAAGAGTTTAGAATGATAAACTGATGTATTGTGTGACCTTCTGCATATTGTAGATGGATTTTAGAAAAAGAATGAAATTAAATATGTATTTTGATGAATATGATTTACAGTTACTTTCATTAATAATTATATTAATTAAAAGAGATTAGTAGCTCTGATTGATAAGTTAATAGATAAATAAGCAATTCTTTCAAAATTAGACCATGGGGCGTTAAAGAATGTCTCTTCTACAACAAAAAACTACCTCTATCCAAAATGCATAAGACTCCTAAAACTACTATCATTATCTTTAATTCCATGAGATTTAACACTTTTATGATTGGTGACTTCAAGCTCAACCCTTTTTATATATGCTTCTATAAATTTATTACAAAAAGTCTCAATAATTTATTAATCACCTTATCTTGATTTCATCGAGGCAAGATGGTTTGATAATAATATATAAATTAAGGATAGTATCAAGAGAGTAAAATTTGTGCTAAGATTAATATAAAAAGCTTTTAATAATATGAATAGAGAGTTCATCCTCAAAAAGCTTCTTATTACACGACCACCTAAGAACCACTCGAATTGGTGGTCGAACCGGCGAACGAAGAACCAGAGACGGTTTTTCAAAACTAGGTGGTTTAAGCATAGGAAATCCGAGCCGTTGGATTATGATCACGTATTCCAAGTCACACACACACAAAAATGAACTCCTTTGCCAATCCCGTAAGACCTCATTTCATGCGGGCGAATTATTATGTTCAATCACTGGACGTCTAGACATCCAATCCGGGCACCCCACGTCACCGAAATATACTGGGGCCCGGTGTATTTTGATGACGTGGCGCATCTGAATTGGTGTCCGGACGAATCTGAACAGAGGACATAATAATTTGCCTTTCATGCGAACTTCGAAAGAAGCTCTTGCGGCCCTTCCGTCCCTTCCTCTCCGATCGGCATTCCTACTTCGTTGGCAAATTTGTGTGAGTGGCTAAAAGCCTCCGACCGAAAAAACTCCTCCCGACACTGTTTATGACTTCGTCTGCCGTTTCTTCCTCTCCGCTCGGCACTCCTCTCATAATTTCTTACTCATTTATGTGAGTTTCCTTATGAGAATTGTTCCTGCTTCGCTTTGTAACTAGATTTCTTACTCAGTTGTGTGATTGCATATTATTAAAATGACGGTTGTTACTTCCTAAGTTGTTCCTTCCTCTCCGATCGATGCAGCTCCCATAAGCCCTCATTTGTTTTTGATATATTTTTTTTAAATGATTCACTAGTAGATTGAGTGCACATAGATTTAATCATTTGATCTTGTAATTTTTTGTAATTAACTTTTTTATATTAGCATAATTAATACACTTGTAATTACTGTATTACCGTTATGCCATTTGCTCTATATTAAATACCTCCTCTGTATCACCGTTTAGATTGAATAACAATAATTCCTTTTACCGTCTTTCTCTCCTTCGCTCTCTGTGCGTTTCCTCGTAAGCATTTCTCTCATGGTATCAGAGCAAATGGCATAACGGTAATACAGTAATTACAAGTGTATTAATTATGCTAATATTTTATACATAATCAAAAAATTAACTTGATTGGGCACGAATATCGAGGCAAAATCAAGTTGGAAACTTTCGAAACTAAAATTGGGACCATATGAACTCTGATTTCAACAAATTTATAGTCAAACTGAAGGTCTTGAAAATATGAATCCAACGACACCAAATTCAAGTCAATCGAGTCCAAATCAAGCATCCAGAATGTTGTTGGAAGGTTCAAATCACAATTTGGATTACCAAATAGTTTCCAAATGTGGCATGCTTATAGTCGAATCGAGCAGCTCGACAAGACGAATCCAACGATCCCAAGATTGTGAAATTTTAATATAACTAAGACATTCAAATTCCCAATAAACGATCCATGATCAAAGGATTCAACATCGGTCGTCCATCCAAACCACTCCCAATTTACCCTTAATCTTCCTCCTATTTACGGGTCATATCACTCTAGGAAATCTATAAATAGATCTCTCCCTCCTCATGAAAGGGGACCTAAGCTAAAGGAAGAGAAGTAAGATAGAGATCGGAGATCGCTCTTGCCTCATCAGTCCTCCTCGACCACCGCCTAGAGTTTTGCCGGACCACTAACAGACGCCAGAGTTCTGTCAGACCACTACCTAACGACAGAGTTCTATCAGGCCACCTCCTGACGCCAGAGTTCTATCGGACCACCGTCTGACTCAAAGTTATGTCGGACCACCACATGATGCCAGAGTTCTATGGGACCACCACTTGATGCCCGAATTTCCGCCGGACCACCACCTGTCACCGTTGTTCCGCCGGACCACCACCTCACACCCAGAATTCTGCGGGACCACCACTTGATGCCAGAGTTTTGTCGAACCACCGCCTGACACCCAAAATTCTGCCGGACCACCGGAGCTTCGCCAGACGGTGCCTGACGTCGGAGTTCTACCAAACCACCGTTGGACTATCAACGGACCACCAAGTGACGTTGGGCATTCATTTAACTCCCATTTGTCACTAGAATTCAACCACAAGGTTGACATTTGTAATCTAATCACCCTTAGGGACGAGTCAACCCACTGTACTCTACTCAAATTCTAGTTAAATCATTTTCAACTGGGCATGACCCCGTGGCTTTTTCCCTTTCCAGAATTTTTCACGTAAAAATCTTGTGTTCTCTGTGAGTGAGCTGGATATCCATACAATGCTAAGACGTAATATTATAACTCTATCGCCGTATATATTCTAGCCCACAACAATTTTCATTTGAATCCTCAATTTGTTGTCCCTTGTATTCGATTCCAATGACCATTGATACTCTTATCAATTCCATCATCATTAGTTCATCCTGAAATCTTGCCTCAATAATATTAATATTACTCGTGTCAATTGATAGTTGAAGGACTATTTTTTTAATATGATAATATAAATTAATTTTATTGTTTAAAATATATAAATTAATTTTTTAATTAAAAGAATCAAAGAATCATAACTTATTAATATATATCTATTATGCATACATGTGTATTAAAATTTTAGGAGATCCCATATACTCTGCCCTTTTATTAAGTAGCTCATATTTCATAGATGATCTTGGATTTTTTTCCAATGAAAAATGATTAATTAAGACTATTCTGATTATTTTTTTTATAAAAATAGGATTAAAATTTTTAAATTTATTTTATGCTATAAATCATTTACAAATTATATTCATCTTTGAATAAATTTAAAATTTTAAAATTTATGCTGATTATTATAGGCACACTGTCATAGATTTTTTTCTTTTGTGGCTCTACTGCCTGTATCGTTGCATATTATTCGGATCCAATGCTCAATTGTTTCCTTCTGCTCTGTGGCCTTCATCCATTTGTCGATTATCTCATCATCGTATTTCAGGCTTTTGATCTCCTCTTCCTCTCTCTCGCACGCCACTTGTTCGTCCCCACTCCCATTGTTTTGTTCAAAGGACTTTCTCTTCTGTTGTAATTTCATCCGAGTTTGGGTTTATTTTGGGTTGCTATATAAATTTAATCTGTTGTGGATTTTAGATTTGCTACAATTATCTTATTTCTTCACTTTACTGTACTTGATTTTTGCTAAACTGTCAAATTTCCAAAGAACAAAAAAACTTAAAATTTGTTTCCAAAAAAGCAATCCATCACCATCATTCCAGTAGCGCGAATTGCGAAAGACCATATGAAGTTCAGAATAATCCAAATATACATCACATTAAAAAGCCTGGCATTCATTCAATAGCAACCACCCATCCACCAAACCAAAAGGAAATATCGATTCTCCAACAGATAATCACTCGACAGTCGACACATAATAAACACCATCAACAACCCAAAACACTTCCAAGTAACAATTTACAGCAATATATTACAGCTTACCAGCACAGAAACCGAATAACCAGTCATTAACCCAAGCTCTGCATCTCAGTTACGCGAATCAAGCCTGTTGACAAGTGCGAGTGCATTACTCGTAAGTTGCGAAACTGCCACGATCTGCCGCCGGATCGGCACCCGCACGCCGGCTGCTGATTTATCCTGCAATAAACTATCAAGACAAGTGTTCTGATCTGTAAGGGCAGCGCTCACCCAAGTCTGCGCGTTGCTTAGATGCCACTTAAACGATCTGCTCCCATACCGCCCCATACGCTCCACCTCCGTTACCGATCGCCTCAGCCGGTCGACGCTGTCGTTAAGCGTCTCCAAGCAATCGCGCACGGCTCCGCCGCCGTGCGATTTGCGTTCCGTTGGATCCTTTCCACTCACCGGCATTCTTTTAATGAAATTTGAAACAGCCAAAGCGCGATTCGCCGTTACGTTCAGTGCAGCCTTAGCTAACTGGCTTGGGCTGCGCTGAACGGCTGGAGGGTAGACGGAGAGGTATTTTTCGCAGAGAGTGGGGTATTGGGTAACTTTGCAGGAGGAATGGATGAACTCGGCCGGAGCGGAAAAGGTGAGGCCGAAGAAGCAGGGGATGAGGACGAAGAAGAGGAGAATCAACCTACTAGGGTTTTCCATTTTCTTTTGCTTTGTTTGGGTTGATCTTGCTTATCGGCGGTGTGTTTAAATAGCAGGGGAGGGAGGACACGTGACTGATCACGTGGATGTTGGTTTGGGTTAGAAGCATCAAGAGGATGATCAAATAAACGGATTCTTAATACAAATAAAAATACTTATGTAATGAGACATTATTGTGTACGCAATCCGAACGCTTCGGATGCTGTGTATTTGCTACTTATTTTATTGTGTATTTTTTTTATAAATAATTTTTTCGTGACAAATAAGTTACAAATAAATAATAATCGCTGCGTACACAATAAATACGCAAAAAATACGTAGAAAAAATTATGTATCAAAAAATATGCAGTAAAATAAGCAGCAAATATGTAGCATCCGAAGCGTTCGGATTGCGTACACAATAATTTCTCCTTATGTAATAATGCTTAATATAATTAACCTACTAGGAGTTTTTGTTCGATCCTTCCCTCGGACATCAACTACCTTGCTCATCCAGAGATAATTACACGAGGAGTTCAGATATAAAGAATCATTCGGTTTTGTGATCGTGAATAGTAAAATCACAGTTACTGTTCACCTCTGTGTTTTTACTGTTAACTTCTGCGCTTTTAGTATGCTTGTACCACTCACAGTCACAAACTCGAGTAATTTTTTATGTCAGGACTCCGCACATAATAATCTCTCATGCTTCTCACGATCAATCACCTTTGATGGCCACCGACATCTTTACCAGCAACCATCATCATCATTTTACATAATATTGCATGAAAAAAAAAGATTTCATGCATTTCTTTGACACTCATCCAAGCAACTTAAAATATTTCAAATACACTATATTTCTTATACAATGCATTATTTTTTTTCAACAAAGCAAATAACATGATAATCACACTTGTTTCTTATTTTAATAAAAAAATTATGATTGTATTTTAATTATTTACTTTATGTTATAAAAATACATTACAAGTTTCTAATAATTTTTTTATCAACACAGATTCCGAAATTCTTAATTTTAATTTTGAAACAAATATAATATAAAATTTAATTAATTTTTATGAATATTATACTTCTTTCCAAAATAATATTACTGATATATCATTGAATTTTTTTTGCTCGGGCACAAATCTTGAGGCAAACTCTAATATGAAACTTTTGAAATTAAATACGAAGCCAGCTGAGCTCCGATTTCAACAAACTTATAGATGAATTGAACGTCTCGAAAAGGCGAACCCAACAACACCAAATTCGATGCAATTCGAGCCAAAATGGGCCCAGACCAATGGTCTGAAACACGTTTAGAGGGTTTAAAGGATAAATTGGATAACCAAATAACATCCAAATATGAATTGAGGGCTCAACGATACAAATCAAACGAGCATAAGATTATTGAATTATGAGAACATTATAGCACTCAAATGCTTGATAAACAGTCCATAATCAAGGGAGTTGATATCGGCCGTTCATTAAAAGCACTCACAAACTCCCCCTTGATCTTCTCTTTATTTTTTGGCCATGTCCTTCCCAAAAAGATATAAATAGCCCATTATTCTTCACATGAAGGGGTGGAGAAAGAGATGAAAAATGAAGGATCTCTTTTGCTTTTTTAAGCTTGCAGCACCCGGCCACTAGCCATTTCTGACCTTTTGCCCGACAACCAATTGTCATCGGACTTCTGCCTGATCAGAAGTAGTTGCTGGACTTTTGCCCGTCCACATGGCATCATTGGACTTTTGCAGACTTTTGTCCGACCACCGACGGTTGTCAAACTTCTCCCTGTCCACCATCCATTGCATTACTTCTGCCAGGCCACCAACCATCACCCCATTATGGTCATTTCGACCATTGTCACCCAAATCTGGTATTTCCAACCTTCGTGGCACGCCGACTACGGTCTTTCTGACAACTATCATATGATTACGATTATTCCGACCTCCGTCGCAAGTCGACTATGTTCCTTCTAACCACTGTCAACTGACAATGATTTTTTTGATCTTCGCCGTTCATTGATTACTAACCTTCTGACCATTGTCATCAGATTACAATCTTTCTGATCTCCATTTTATGTTGATTATGGTCTCCCCGACCAACATCTCGAGATTACGGTCTCTCCAACCATCGTTTCCAACCACAATCATTCTAACTACTGTCATTTGATCACGGCCTTTTTAGGCCTTTGTCGCCCGCCAACTACGATCTTTTTGACCATTGTCTTCTGACTACAATTTTTTCAACCTTCATCGCCCACCGATTACAATTTCTTCAACTACCATCATTCGATTACGATCTTTTCAACCTCCGTCTCATGCATACTAAGGTCCTTCCGACTACCTTCGCCTGAGTACGATCGTTCTAACCTTCATCGCCTGACAATAGTCATTATGACCATCGTTGTCCGATTACAATCCTTCTAACCTACATCGCTCGCCGATTGTGGTCATGCCGACCAAACGACAACATGTCAATACTGATTCTTCCAACTTCCACCATGTAATACACTCTATATGATGTATATTTGCTACATTGAGCCAAGGTCTTCCCTCCAAAGAAACTAGGCAAGCCACTATGATTTTTTTTTTCAATATTTAGGAGTTTCTCTCTAAAAACTCTGGTATCTCCTATGAATGTTACACCCCAATATTTTATCTGTCTGTGTACTGAATCTTCGTAGAAAGTTAAAACTCTAAACTATATATCTTTCTACCGTCGCGAATATTTCAGGACACAACAACTATAGTTTTAATATTTATTTTAACTAAATATTACTTAGGATATTTATCTAAAACATATATATAGTTTTGTATTCCTAGCGGATAGTATTCTTCAATTATTTATTAAGCAATATTATTTATGGGGCAGCACGGAGATGTAGGTGAGCGAGATTCTCATCGAATCTAAAACGTATTTACCGAATTAGTTATGACTTTTCTTTGTTGTTCAATAAAAAGAAAAGAATTAATAACTCATTTGATTTAAATTTAAATTTAAATTAATGAAATCATAAATCGGTTAAGTTGGATTCACCAAATCCCTTGATTTTTATGGTTTAGTTTTTAAGATCTAATCTTTGTAGCACTAAAAACTTTTCTCCTTAAGAAAATTAAAAAATATATATTTATAATATTTTTATTTCTTAAAAAAAAAGGAATTAAGCTGGACTTAAATTGAAATTTAACTGAGTTTAATATATATTTCAGATCAAAATAGCGTAATATTCTATCAAAGAATTAACACGTTTTCTCATAAGAAAGTATTAAGATGATAATTTACTAAGAAAATATTTTTTACCAAGTAAGATTGAATGGGAAAGCTTAGGCTGAATTAGGCGAACGTACGACCAAACTTTACTTGATTGAGAAAGGGACAATGGGGCTGCACAGCACTCGCCTCCGCTCACGTTACCGACAGTCAAATACCCACGAAATCGAATACTTGACCGGAATTTTCTAGTTTAGTTAAAAAATAATAATTAAATTGATAATTAATACTAATTATAAGTTCTTTGACTAAAGAGGGATAATCAGCTTGGATTGAACTTGAATTGACAGACAAATATGAACCCCAAACTAAGGAATTTTTATTTGGTCCGGTGTCCTGACATAGCTCTACGTTCGGACGCCTCGAACGTCAGTAAAATGGTGCCACGTGCCCTTAATCTTTACCGCGCGGCCTGACGACCCGACCCGGACCAGACTCGGGATTGCTATGTGTTGGTTGATTTGTGCAGACGGGGGTATTGCTAAGTATTGCTCGATATTCCTCGACAATAATGAGAAATACCATTATGTGAAGACCAATACCTAGCAATACTGAGTAATACCGAGGTATTGCTCGGTATTGATCTTGATAGAGTGGTATTTCTCGTTATTGTCAAGCAATACCTAACAATATCGAGCAATACCTAGCAATATGCGAACATAGCAATACCGTGTTCCGGTCCAGGTCGGGTCGTCGGGCCGCGCGGTAAAGAGTAAGAGCACGTGGCGATATTTTATTGGCCTTCGGATGTAGAATTACGTCCGGTGTCTGGACCTAATAATTGTTCTCAAACTAAGACTTCATTTGGGACGGTTTTTTTATTATTTTTTAATTTTTATATTAAAAATTATTTTAAGAAGCAATAAGAAAACCGTAGTCTAACGGACTCAGAATGATAACAAACCCATCCGAAGAATCAAAAATAAAACTGAGAAGAGGGCCAAGTCCTTTGGAGAGCTAGAAACTACTATCCAAACTACTTTTGGCAGCTGAACCAACTTATCAATGGACAAACTTAATTACAAAAGGGGCAAGTCCTTTGGTTGCTGAAAACGACCATCCAAAGATTTATTTCGGTTGTCGGGCCAACCTTCCAAGTGACATAATCAAATTAAACCAATTCATTGTAGTCCCTAATCCCAACCACCCACTTAATAAACCTCTGCTCAAGCCATCCAAATAGGATACCAAAATATTCACAGATCCAAACACAATAACGGATCTAGAAAAAGAGAAGACGCTAGCAGAAAACCACTGTCAGTCTAGCCTTTTATTATTCTGTGCGAAGTTTGGAGGGCGTCCGGAGACCAATAAAAATGTTCCACGTCACCCAAAATGTACCGCACTCGATACCGAGCTCGGTAACCGCCCTCAATACCGCTCGGTATTGAGTCAGACGGATCATGTTAATTTGGTCATTTATTAAAAATGTGTATTTTTGCTTAGCAGATTTTTTTTGCTTGACGTTATAAAAAGCTATACAATTCGGACTTGTGCTCAAATATACTTACTGTTACTATGTGATGAAAAATGTGCATAAATGATTAAATAATATTTGCTTGAGAGAGAGAAGCGACCAAAATTATTTGAGATTTTGTCTATGTCTGAGAATATTCTAGTGACTATAAGACACATTTTGGTGGCTATAAGCCATGTTATGATTTCTACAGATATGTTATGGTACTACAAGCATAAATGGGAGTCATAAAAGATTAGAATTCTTTGTGATTTTGTTGAGTCTGAAAAATTTGATATGAATTGCAATTTATTTATCTGCTTAATA